ATAGAAGCAGTCGTACGGATCTTCTGCAACTATGATCAAGACAACTGGGCACAACTCTGCCACGACGTCCCACAGAGTACCACGCATAGGATAACATGACACACGTAGGACAATATGGGACATAGGACACTCCCTTAGTATATAGTATAGGCATTGAGCCCTTATGGCTCGATGTGTTCAACTTCAGTTTTGTGAGTACAAGTATAATACAGAGAGTTATTCTACTTGCACGTTACTGTCCTCGTCTGCACCCTGTCACTCTATCTGCGAAAACCAACCAACAATAAGATCAACACTAGAAGTCTTGTATTACTTCCATTTCATCTATATTCTAAACAGCACTAAGATCCCATCGAAGTATGCCAAGTGTTCCAGTCCATTGTAGGTAGGCTTAAGAACAGTGAGCTTCGTAACTATTGATTGGAATGCAGCCTATAAAAGTATTAGTGAATTCAAATCAAGGTTTAGAAAATAATCGGGAACTACCGTTGTTGTTAGTTTTACAGGGATTGCTCTAGATAAAAAATTATTAGCACCGAGATAGGGAGAATAAGGATTCATCTTACAGAAGTGCATCGGTGGGCTAATAAACCTAAGCCAGCATCATTTACGCAAAGGCCATAGGGAGCACTGTTATAGATCATTGGATTATCTCTATAAGTAGGATCATCGGAGTTTTTGCAGTTCTGTATGCGACTAATTAGTACTAGCTGCCTAGGGAAAGATAACTTATTCTAACGTACCCAATTTCCTTGCGCATATGTCAAAGACAATAAAGGGATGATTACAGCAAAGATAGGAAGTTGCATGATAACAGTGATTTATAAAGGTGACTTGGAAGAAAAATGTTTGGAAAGAAGAGCTCTTTATATATGACTTGTGACATCAGAGATGCTAGTTTAGAGATTACTAAGACTATATTAGCATAAAGACTATCCGTGCCAAGGCTTAATACGATATTACCTTTAATACGATATATTTTTGGAACTCTACTACGTACATACTCTAGATTTTCCGGTTTTTCTAATCGACCGACAGCCAGGATATACCCTAATTGAGTTTAATGCTGACATACCTAATATCCGTCGCGAAGGGACAACCCCTAGTGGAGAAGACACGGATTAGAAAGAAAACTCTAAATAATTATTGGCCGGAGAACGGCCGATACGAGCACGGTGCTGAGGCATTATTTCTTAGTAGAGCGACGGCATCGGCATCTTTAGGCAGCATAAACAGCGGCGGTCAAGGTCGTGTTGCAATAGCGAGGCTGAGCACCTGGCCCTAGAGGCTTCTAGAAAGCTATAGGCATACGCCACAGCTATTCTTGGCAGCCGACTGCTATAGCAATAGCGTCGAATTTGTTACGATAGTTATCTAAGCATGCTACTGCAGGTTGCCCGCATGCTAACTGCTGTTGACAGCACGTGTCCTGTAGGATGTAACGATGTTACAACCCCGCTAAGCATCAGACCAATCCCGGAGCCGGATCGGAGGAAGCATCAGACGCCCCTCATCAGCTACCGTTCCTGATC